TTGTTAATTTAATTAAATTATTAAATTAAAAGTTAAACCCAACTAATCGACATTTGTTGATTAGCAGGCATATTTTAGGGGTCATTCACAAATAACGTAATCTCCGTAGTTATCTGTAGTGCATATTCAGTGAAATTCTGGCGTTTGAATGAATCGTCAATTGTTTTAATGTTTTATTTAATATATAATTAATTATATGATTAAACTATTATAATATAACAATTGTAAACATTTTACACATTCTTGTTCAAATATATTTAAAATGTCAGGCATATTTTGTGAATATTATTGTAATGACAACCATTTATTATAGAATAATCGTTAGAATTTCAATATTCATTATAAAGTTATAGAATATTTAATTTGTTAATAGTTATTACGAAATATCAAATAATTTATAGCATTTATTTTGAAAGATTAATGCTTTTAAAAAGAGTCAATAAAAATGATTTATAAGAATATTAATATTATGTCTAATGTCTCCACAATTGTTAAAACATTGGATTTAAAACAATAATAAACCCAAAAAACCGTAAATGTTGTCAATTCATAACTTTGAAAGATTAATCAATAATTGAACAAAATTATGAAAGTTATTGTTAATCAATGATTAATTTCAAAACATTCTGTTTTCAACAATAAATTATTACAACAAAGTATTTAATGATCATTGAATGTATACATTGTCTGGAATAAAGTCTAAAGACCTGAATAAATAATACATGATCATGGTCATATGACACATTGGCTATTAATGCAATATTTCAACACTCATTACTTGTGAACATTGATTGGGGAGATTCTAATCACATGTATTTATGGAATATTACACTTTTTAAATTATAATTTGAAAATAAATTTTTTAAAACTTTATATACATTAATAATATTAAAACGTGTTTAAAATATTTTATGTTATCACCGGCTACCTTGATCGTTGACGTTATAACTTTCTATTAATATTCTATTTTTAATTTCAATATAAATAAAATTAAGCAAAACTTGTTTTTAGCAAATAAATGCATTTAAATCAACACGATTACTTATTTTCATTAAATGAAAATGTTGCAATATTTGGTCAAGTTAGCTAGGTCATATAGAATATTACATGAATCCTTTTGATTAGTTATACAATCAATACATATTTGTTTAGTAATAGTTTACGAGCAAGTTTGATCCCAAATTTAGCCAAATTCTAGATTATATCCTTTTTAAGAAATGTCGTTTTGATAACTCTATTAAACTTTTATTAATTTATACTTTAAATTCTTATAATAAAGATTTATCATTTTATTTTCAATTACAAGCAGTTTTAACTAAAGATGTGAGGAGTGGTGAAAATTTGGGAACGTTTAGGTGTCGTGATAAACATTTAGGCTGTTCTCAACTACTCTATATTAGCAACATCCATATTACACATATTTATTAAATAAATCACTAATTTGTATCATTTAAGCTAAATTATTGTGGTTAAAAACAGAGGAGTTATTATCAAATAAGACGTTATTTGGATGCAGAACCATTTTAAATAAAAAATGTTTTAATTAGTTTGATATTTATATACCACATTGAAAGTATCTAGTTAAAAATATATGTGGATTTCACATTTTTACAAAACTTAAGCCTAAATGAAATGTTCATATAAATATTTCAGTCAAATCATCCCTAGTTTTAAACCCAGTGTTTCACTCTTTGTAGTCTGTGTTTACATTTCTAACAAAATATTATTATCAATAATTCACTCATTTATTGATTAGACACAAGAATTAGCAATAAATTGATGTATATTTTCAGACATAAAGTAAGAAAATGTGGAAATATTTAAACCATTAGAAGACGACTTTCATTGGTCTCGAAACAGACTCCTAATTGCAATTCAGAGATCAGACATACTATCGATCGCTTTTTGGCTAACATTCAAGTCTTTTATCGACCCTTTCTGTGACCTATTTTCTCACAAAAACACTCCTATTATTAAATGGGAATCAAATGTAAAGCAAACTATCGTCAGTACAACACATTTATTTGTTTCATTCAATATATAAATATAAAACTTATATATTTTAAACTAAATTTAAAAATTCAAAGTTATTATAATTAATTAATGAGTATATTATTCAGAGCAGTGTTTAGCAAAACTGATCATTTTAGTAAAATTAAACATTTCATATCATGTGATCATATATTCTTCAGTAATTGTTAATACAATCGATTTGTTTCTATTTATGAATTCTTAGTTTAATATCATTTAAATATCATTGAAGTTATAATTATTCTTAACTTTCATTTAGTAAATTAATGTGAAATTTGTCTGCAATTTACGGCATAGAACTTGATATAAATGTTGTAAATATATTAAGACTGCATCTGTCTATTGAGGTCAGACACACAGAATAGTGCTTATATTCTGGTCTTAATTGTCTAAAATGAGATTCACTCAAGAATTTAAGTCAATTAAATCATTTAAAATCCACTTAAATAATTAAAGTACTTAAGTGTGAGATCTATAAATGTTTCAATTCATTGTAATATAGCCTTGAATTCGAGTGAATTGAATGAAGAATATTATGCTTTCAATGATTGAATAGTTGATGGAAAAAATATTAAATTTGTTAATATTTTTATATCTAAAGTAAAAACTTGACAATTGGGTTAAATTGTTGTTGATTATCACAAAATTATATATTTGCACCGTTTGTTTGTTTGCCAAATACTACAAACATTTTATATAATCTTAACTCAAAAGAACATAAAATGATAACAAAATGTAAAAAGAGTTAACAAATGTCGAGAGAAGCATAAAATACATTATGATTGCAATAATGAGTCGATAAATAAGAGATTTTCTCTTTTGTCAATCGAAAGGTTTTTGTTGTGAAATTCAAATCTATTGAAACGAATCAACCCTTTGAATGCAATTTCCTTTACGAATATAATAGTGTATTAAATGAATGCATTTTAATGCCAAAGACAGCGTCGAAAACTCTATTCTTTCAATTCTCGCATATATTTCCCGTTAGTATTTATTGAGAGGAAATTCTTAGTTCAAAAATAGGTGAAAGGATTTAACAGAGAAAGTGCTTGCGATCACTGTATTGACGGCAATACCGGTGCCATTGCTTTGGTTTGCATACCCTATGCCAAGGATACTGTACTTATTCTCTGTCTCTGTTAGTTTGGATGTCATATAAGCCTTTCAAAGCCGGATAGTGTTTGGGGTTTGGGGGCAGAGATAACCTTCAACTCAACTCATTTCAACATTTCTATAAACGAATCATAAAACAGGAATCATATCGTGAAAAATGCTTTTACTATATTTGAAAGAGAGAGAGAGAGAGAGAGAGAGAGAAATATGCACTACAGATAACTACGGAGATTACGTTATTTGTGAATGACCCCTAAAATATGCCTGCTAATCAACAAATGTCGATTAGTTGGGTTTAACTTTTAATTTAATAATTTAATTAAATTAACAATAATTGTAATTATAATAACATTGAGACCAATAGTGAAGCGATCGATGCATTCATTATTACAGATCTATGTCTTAATAATAAGTGCTTTAATATCGACAGCCTTTTCGTCGGAACTGAAGCTACTTTTTGTGGTCAGTATTTGAATGCATTGTTATATTGAATGCATTTTATAACATATTCGCGACCATCAGATCCATAGACACGGAGACCGAACACCCATTCAATGTTATCCAATGGATCCGTATTCTAACGCCAGCTATTGGCCCGACGGGTGGGGAGAACTGACGCCCGTATGCCTCGATTGCCATCCAATGTGTGCCATATTTTATACATTGATATCTCATTTGTTTGCATCTAAAGGTGGGAAAGAAGCGCATGTTTGGCGTCGGAAGTTATCTCAGGAAACGATACCAACATTTCCTGTCAGACAATCCAAGAGAAGTGAGAATCAGGAGTTCGGGCGCCGATCGGTGTCTCGAAACGGTTGCTCTCGTGATGGCCGGTCTCTATCGACCAGAAGGAAGGTATTGATTGACTTCAATTGATTCATTACTAAAGATATATCGATTGTACTAATAAAATAATAAATGACAATAAGATGGCAGTGGAGCGACAATTTAGGACATGAATGGCAACCGTTTCCCATCCAAACGGAGCCCCGAGAAATGGACGGGGTCAGTCTACAAGCAATGGACACATACTGTATATTCTTGTATATAATTAACATTGATTTGTCGTATGTATTGATCAGATGCTGAATTCTGGCTCTAAATGTTTGGTCGCCGAACAAGAGTTGACTCGAATCCACAATTCTCCAGAAGTTATACAATATGTTAATCAACGAAAGGTTTGCCTACAAAATATGTTTCTTCGGACAAACATAACAATAACATTGTATGCATTATAGGCGGTATTGAATTACGTGTCGAGTAATACGGGTCTCAATATAACGAATCTGACGGCCGCTGAAGAGGTATTCGACACATTGCTGATCGAGAAGGAGAACAAATACGAGTTACCGCTTTGGGTCGATGAACACACTTATCACACTTTAAGCCAAATCTCTGACATGACTTTTTATTTTGATTTCTCCACTAAATTAATTCAACGTTTGAGAACTGGTAATCATTTGTATCACTATTTAATTAAATGTGAAATTTATTGTCGATTTTTATTTAAAGGATTGCTTCTGAAGGATATAATTAAAAATATGAACGAAACAATCAATAGAAACGATACGACAAGTGAAACACCTAATAAACTATACATATATTCGACAGTAAGTGATTGTTGTGTAAATTGTTAAACAAATTGGTATATGATTTATACGATTGTATAGCACGACACACAAATCGCACTCCTTTTAAATGCTCTGAATGTCTTCGACAAAAAGTCGCCGCCATTTGGTATGATATGAGTGATTAAATACTAATATAAGCGCATTTATACTGTGGATACAATTTGATGGACTGATTGCCGGTCTTTGTTTGATAGGGTCAACAATAATGATAGAATTGCGTCAAACAAACAATAAATACACGATTGAAATGTTTTACTTAAACGACACCCAATCGGAGAAACCAATGACTTTGGTTTTGCCCAACTGTACATCACACTTTAAGCCAAATCTCTGACATGACTTTTTATTTTGATTTCTCCACTAAATTAATTCAACGTTTGAGAACTGGTAATCATTTGTATCACTATTTAATTAAATGTGAAATTTATTGTCGATTTGTATTTAAAGGATTGCTTCTGAAGGATATAATTAAAAATATGAACGAAACAATCAATAGAAACGATACGACAAGTGAAACACCTAACAAACTATACATATATTCGACAGTAAGTGATTGTTGTGTAAATTGTTAAACAAATTGGTATATGATTTATATGATTGTATAGCACGACACACAAATCGCACTCCTTTTAAATGCTCTCAATGTGTTCGACAAAAAGTCTCCACCATTTGGTATGATATGAATGATTAGATACTAATATAAGCGCATTTATACTGTGGATACAATTTGATGGACTGTTTGTTTGATAGGGTCAACAATAATGATAGAATTGCGTCAAACAAACAATAAATACACGATTGAAATGTTTTACTTAAACGACACCCAATCGGAGAAACCAATGACTTTGGTTTTGCCCAACTGTACATTTGTTTGATAGGGTCAACAATAATGATAGAATTGCGTCAAACAAACAATAAATACACGATTGAAATGTTTTACTTAAACGACACCCAATCGGAGAAACCAATGACTTTGGTTTTGCCCAACTGTACGAACGCTCGAAATGAATGCCTTTTTCAACAATTTGTTGAATCAGTCAATGATCTCATTCCCGGCGACTGGAACTCCGAATGTCAAAACACGGGACTCTCATTCGCCTCAAAAACAGGTCTAACAATCATTTTAATGATTTGTTAATATAAAAAGTGTTTTGTAAAGAATTGTTTGCTTTTATTTACTTGATTCCAACAGTTATGCCGTATATGTTTGGATCGCTTCTAACATTGGCTGTTATGGCATTGATTTACATAATCTATACATTCCTGAAGCCCAAGAATAGAGAAATTGTGTATCAAATGCTTCCGATCCGGTAGTCATTGGTTTAGATGACGGCCACTAATACTCGCATTCCTTATACATAATTAATCATTTGATAATCAAGTCATTCGTCTCTATTGTTAAATAGTGTGTAATATATTGTCAAACAATCACTTCAACCACAATATGATATTGTGTTGACGACAATAAATGATTATTTTGTAACCATTTTTAAGTCAAATTTTTATTATAACTTATATTAATAATAATTATAAGCTATTATTTGCATATTTTTTGTTCAAAATTTTTCGGTATTTAATACAATTTATACGACAAACTGGATGTATAAAAGTGAATGATTTCATAATAAATGATGAAATAATATAAATATATTTAAAATTGTTATAAAATGTTTTAAAAAGTAGTGAATAAAAAATGTTTAATAAAGTGATGAAATGTTATCTTATTTTGAATGACGTTTCTTAAGATTAGATCTAATGAAAGCAATCAAATGGCGTAAATCCGGGTTCGAGTTATCGGCGACTCTCGCGTTGAACTCATTCTCAATGAATTTGGTGTCCAACGAGTCCTTGGGATCGCATTCGACAACTGATCCAAAAGACAATCATATAATCAATGCAAATGACATTCAGGTCTTCATACAAACCTTTAACCCTATGGTTGTCTTCGAGGCTAATCTTGATTGAAAACCATTTGTTGGGATCAGTTTCTGATATCTTATTCAACTTAATGGTATAGATATCATCACTTTTCTCGATCCTTAAGCCAATCGTATTCCACACATTCATCACATTCTCGACGTTCTCTTTGTTCTCGTCGTTCTTCTTCGACAGCTTTTCGATGTCTTCGGGAAACAAACAAATTAATGGTTAAAAGCGGATCAAATGGAGTGATCATATGATGAATGAATACATTTGTGGACATCAGAGCACTTGTGTTCAGCCTTTTCGATGTTGGACTTGGCTTTCATTATAGCCTTTTCCACGCTTTCCATCTCTAACTCGAGTTTGTGTTTATCTTTAGTCCATCTCTTCATGTCTTTCACCAAACCATTCATTTCTGAACACAATTTGCATTCAATTAACACTCAATTCATTGCAAATATCATTCACACAAACCTTTCATCTTCTTCTCAAACGTGTCGACCATTTCTGTGACAACCACTTCATCCGACTCTTTCATGGCGTTCAAAGTGTCACTCAATTGAGTCCACGTTTTGCTCAAATCCACATTCATTTCAATTCAATTGGCATTTAATGTCAATTCAAATCACAATCAAAACAAACAAATGCTTTGACTTTTCCG